CAGACAGACAGACAGACAGACAGACAGACAGACAGACAGACAGACAGACAGACAGGCGGAAATCAGGAGGCAGAGGTATAGGAAAATCGATGGAGAGGAAATAAAGATAAGAATACAAATACACTTCAGAAAAGTTCAGTTTGGTTGATTTTGGGATTAACACTCTTGAATACTGGGTTTTTGCTTTTTGTATTCTTTTGTTTTGTCTCATTTTTGTTGATTGGGTGGATTTTTAAAAATCTTTCAGCGAGTCTATTTTAAAAGGGTGTGGGGTGGGGAACACAACTGATGAAAAGAGGACAGGAGAGACGAAGAAGGAAGAATAATATCTGGTTAAGAAAACATCATCATAACAAAGAATAGAAAACTGCCCTCACTGAAAAGTTTTAGTCTGGGTTGCCCTGGGTTTATCATTGTCAGACGCAGAAACATTGCTTCAGAATGGAATTCTGGTGCCGTTTTTCAAATGGGGTTTTTTTTTAGGAAGGAAAGAGAGGGAGAGAAGGACGAGGGGAGCATAGGAAGAAATAACGGAAGAGTGAATGTCGTCTGTGGTCAGGCCTTATCCTGGTGCACCAAAAGATGAGAGTTCGATTTCTTCTAGGTCAAGTCTGCTTTATCGACAGTCTCCTCCTTTCTCTTATGTAGGAAAGCAGCATTGTTAAGTGTCAAATTTAAACTTTCTAGCTCCGTTCCTTCATAATCAGGGAAATGCGCATGGTTTGTATCATAATAAGACCACCTCCCTATTGACCGAAATTGTGCTGACAGAGGCAAGAAAACATTCAGGAAACGACAAAGGCAGTTTCGGGGACACCTGAATAGACATAAGGGTCTTGAACATCTAGCTCTCACTGACAAAACTGAAGGCAAACTAGGCAGGGGTAGGCCCAGAGCAACCTACTTGGGTAACGTAAACATATGGGAAGAGGAGAAAGATCAATAAAGAGCATCCGAGCCAAGGAATGAATGGAGAAACATGATCGCCGATGACTACCGCATGTCTGGCACTGGATGATGATGAGACATGAAACAATTACTATCACAAAAAGGCTGTTCGGAGAGTGGGAGAGAGTGATTAATTGAAAATCGACATAATGTATACCACTTAATTAAAAAGCTGGCTGCTTTGACCCTGCATGCCACAGTATTATCAAGCTAACTCAGCTACCAACCCGGGCAACCCACTAGACAATGATATCTCTTTGATTTATAAAGAAAAAATTTTCCTCACGGGAAAATCAAACTCACGTCTTTAGAATACAACAGCAAAGAGCCTCCCCAGTAAATCTCTGACGCTAGTGCTCTAGTTCGCAAAGTAGGTTAAAATTTTGTTTTCAAAGCCGGATCTGAAGAAAGTGGAGGCGACACACAGGAGGTGTCAATCCAAGCACTCACGTTCACTTGTGGTATTTCCATCCATGCGGTGTCATCGCACATCGAGCTGCCGGGTACTGGGTTTACTTACTCATCATCGCCTAGACACACACCGCAAAGGTTATTTTATTGTTTTGTTTTGTTTTGTTTTTTATTAGGAGAGGGCCCCTTTTTACTTAATAAGAGACGCAATCTTGATAGTAATGATAGTATTACGTGGAACGAGGTATGCGCTTCCGTCATTTTCAGTCTCGATTCACAGTTTCTGTGTTTGTGAAGATACGACTGTCAGTGAACAGTAGAACAGAAAGCATAAGTCTAGCCTTATATGTACATAACAATATAGCACTTTTTAAGGATTCTGTTAAATCTCCACAAAACGAGTAGACCTTCAAGAATATTTAATTTTGCTTCGTCCATGGGTCTTAAAAATCTAGAAAAGCTTCGGGATTTAAAAAATTGTTTAATTGAAGAACAAAATGGAAGGTAGCAGTGAAAGTTTTATCAAAAACTGATAAAAGAAGATACAGCATAAGAGCGGCAGACCTGTGTATGTGGTGCAGAGGTTAGGTCCTCGCCCCGCACGCCTGACCTGAGTTCGACTCCCGTTTGGGGAGAATCTTTATCAAATACATTGTATATTCGTCTCTCTGCTGGACGCTGTATACACACCATGTATCTCTTTCAACCCGGGTTGACTATAGACTAAAACAGGCAGGGTCGAAATCAACCTCCTGATTCCTCTAAATCACATGGGAAGCGTAGAACGCCTACATTTCAATTTTTTTTTAAAAGCCGGATCTGAAGAATGTGGAGACGACACACAGGAGTCAATCCAAGCACAGATGTTTACGTGTGGTATTTCCCTCCCTGTGATGTCATCGCACATCGAGCGGCTGGGTACTGGGTTTACTTACTCATCATCGCCTACCACCCCG